ACCACCAGATAATACGTTTATTATGATGTAATATAACATAAATACATCACATCACCTATGTAATATTCTTAAAATAAACCAAGGTATTCACAGCTTTGGGTCAAATAACCAGTTTATGTGAAAGGATGGTACAAAAGAACATGTAAGAGAAGCACTTAGACCAGTGCAGAAGGTGGGGTGCCCAAAAGTGTGCCTGACTCTTCTCTTCAACAAGCGAATTTTCAGAAGAAGTTGTGACAAGGACTATTGTAATTAAAAGATAATTTATATCTTAGACCTTGAATTCATTCTTATTAAGACAAACAAGCTCTAAAAGACCATTTGAGAATAATTAAGTATGGAACAAGTATTAGGAGAAGCACTGGAGAATTTCTAATTTACTTGATATGATTAGGGTATTGTGATTAGGTCAGGAGACATTTAAGAGTTGCATCATGAAAAATTTAGAGGAAAAATGTCATGTTTGTAATTTATTGAAAATACCTCAGGAAAAAGCAGATGAAACAAATTGGGCATAATGTTAATCATTAAATCTAGATGATGAGTATATGGTAAGGTTGGTCAGTATTTTATTGTTTCTACCATTATGCATGTTTGAAACTTTTTATTTAATAAAAAGCTAAAAAAATAAAATTGGAACAAAGAAACACAATTGCCATGATTTCCTTGGCTATCTCATCACTTGCCAATGACCAAGGAGAGAATAAGAAGACATAGAAAAGTGGTCTTGAATCCATAATAAAAAGCCACGAGTTGAAATTGGCAGTCACGGCATGCAAGGACTACCCATGGAAAAGTTATGATAATTAAGTCCCTACGAAAGCATTTATAAAATTAAATGTTGTGAATTTGCAGAAGATTCCATTTCATATTAAGGTAGGATACATCTCACTCTCTATATATAGCTATATCTATATCATCTCCCATATTTTTAAGACTAAATTTTAGACTTTACATCCATGCAAAGCAAGGCTTATGGAACAATTCACTGCAACATTTGGAGCACTGTGGATTCCTAATGCAGGTTACCAAAAAGTTTCTTTGACTTAGCTTGCTCATTATCAAATGGCCTCCTCCATTTAGCAGGGTTATAAAGTAGAAAAGAAGCTCCTCTGAGGACTCAGTCAAAGGTTAAAAACTGTACATAAACATCTTTTCCAAGCAATCAATTTTATCAATTCCGAGGAAAGGGAAATAGTTACAGCTAGAAGTGTCTGGATAAAAGAAAGCTATTTTCAAAACCTATGAATAAAATCCATGTGTAAGATATCTTTTTGACAGAATATGGACTAGCATAAATTTCTAGGTAGAGTTTGTAATTAGCAGGAAAAATGGTAGTTAATATTTAATTTGTTTAGGAGATGCTCCTGAGACTATTATTATGGGATCACTTACTTGATGCTATAAAATTTTTATATTTTAAGAAGTGTTTGATGTGTCCAAGACATGTAGTAATGCTAATAGCTCCTAACTCTCTAACAGCATTCCTCATGTTTAATGTTGAGTTTGTTTCATGAGTCTTCTTGTGGAATAATATTCTGGGCAATTATTACGCATTAATATAAATACACATTAGATTACAGGAAGATTAAATTTCCCATCAAAACCCACATTGGGGTCAGATTAAAAATTGAGCAGGACTCTTTCTGGGTAGAATTATTAAACAGATGAGTACTGCATTCAGTACTCTTATCCCTATATTCTTTTTTCCTTTGAAATGTAATCATAAAGGAAGATAGCACACTTGCCCCCTGGTCTTTGTGGGAGGGCAGGATATTTTACTGCTCTGTGAGTGCTTTGCTCCAGACTGTAAAACCGCATCCTGTTACGAAGATAGGAGAAACTTTAATTTTCCTTTGAGTAAGACCCATTAAAAAGTGGATGGACTCTGATCCCTTGCCAAAATTGTCCATAGGAGTAATAATCTCCTTTTTCTTGCTATAATGATCTACCTCAGTACCCTTGCCATTTTGTTGTAGGTGCTAATAGGAATGTAGCCATGGCTTATATACAGATCGAAACAGGTCAGCAATCCTTAAAGATCCCAGGTCAGGAGAATTGAACGGAGCATTCTCACAGGCTTCTAGTCCATACTGTCTACTTCTCCACGCTAGTTCACAGAGCACCTCCTTCATGGTTCCTATGGGCATTTTGGGAGGGGAAATTTAGAAGACAACATCCTTCAGAGCCATCCAACTCTTTCACGTGTCCTCCTCCACCTCTGTCCATTTTTCCCAGCTGCAGACAATGTAGTTGGAAATTTTGGCCCACAAGCCGGTACTCACTATGAGGTTTTGCAACATATCATCTTTTGAGATCATTCTTTCCCAACTTTCTGTAACCCAAATGGTGATTGCTATAGAGCTGCTTGAGAAAACTTCTGGAAAAAAATGTTCTGACAGAAAAAAAAAAAAAAATCAGAATGCTACAGTTACCACAGCAAAATCCCATGACATGAGTCGGTGTCCCTCATATGATGTCATCTGTTCAGTATTACTTTGATTTACACACCAAATAACTGAAGGGGTTAGAAGTGGATTGGAGGAAAAGTCAAGCTAGAAATGAGAAAGGGGTAGAAGAAAGCCTACATAGATTGAAAATATACTTCCTTTTTGCATCCATTTATATTTAGCCACAACTTTTCTTTTTCAAACAGTAGTGTGTTAAAGAAAAATGAAAAATTCCACTCTTCCTAAGTGGAAACTAAGGAATATCACAGTGCACCTGACCAAAAGTCATGCTTACACAACTGTCTACGCAGTTCTCATGTGCTTATTTCTAATTGTTTTTGTTAAATGACTGATTCATTCACTTGCAGTTACTGCTGCCTCTCCATTGGAAAAAATACTTATTGTAACTAAAAAGTATATTCATTTGGTTTATCTTATCTGGTAATACTGAAAGTGAGTGAAAATTTTCTGAACAACATGGGAAAACACTCACGGGCTGGTATGGGAATGTATGTACACAGTAATGTTAACTGCCCCAAGGTTCGCACTGATTCAAGCTTCCACGGTGAGATTTCAGATATAAAATTGGTTTGGGCCCATATAATCTCCAGCATCATGCTTGTAGTTCTTTCCAATAAATTAAGCCTGTCTCTCAAGTACAGTGTCAAATATAATATAAACTTATTTATATATCTATAATTATAAAACTCAGTTCCACACCTTGGGATGATGTTAAACAGTTAAAGATAAAACTAGTATAGCATAACATTTTTCATAAAGTTAATTTTATTCATCTTAAAACAAGTGGTACTGTATTCCATTCCCTTTTTTTTTTTTTTTTTTTTTTTTTTTTTTGATACAGGGTCTCACTATGTAGTTGAGACTGACCTGAAACTCACTATGCAGCCCAGGCTGGTCTTGAACTTACAGCAATCCTCATGCCTCAGCCTCCCGAGTGCTGGGATTACAGGCATGTGCCACCACACCCGGCTCCATTCTTTTTAATGTTCAAATAAATTATTCCCTTGCTGAAGAAATAGTGACAGTAGAGGATAATTGTTGCAAAGTGTACTTGATGTTTTTAATTTAGCAAACCTATATTTCCCATAATGGGTAACCAAATGTCTGAGACTAACTGTTCTATATTCTGTTTTGTGATGGAAATGTTTTTTAATAAGTTACTAAATAAGACCAAAGCTGAAAAGAAAACCAAACAATTTCAAAGATATTTTTCAAGTGGCAAAATTCTTGATACAAATACTTTTGTTAAACAAGGTATTTCTGAAATGAGAAGATGAGAGCTTCTGTGTAAAGTTAGAAAGCATCTTTAAGGGTTCATGTTAATTTAGGCCTCATCACTGTGACTTCAAAGTAATAATAAATCAGAACCTGTTCCTTGGAGTTAGCAGCTCTTTTTTTCTCTTCTTTGGGAACCGGGAGTCAGCTACAGACCATAAGGTGTGTAGCCTGACAGTGTGAAATACTGTTTATTTCGATAAATGTAATTAATCATGTACATTTAAAAGTGGAGAGCTATGGTAACAACGTCTGCTAGCAAAAAAAAACATGTAATTAACTGCCTCTTAGTGTTTTATCTTTAGAGAAGTGTTATCTTTGTATTGAATTTTATTCTATTTATTTGCATTTTGACTATTCCGAGCCCCCTTTAGGAGCTTTAGTTTTATTTTGACAATTCTCTAAATTGTCAGAGAAGATAGAAAATAGACAAAGTTTTGTAATATTTGTTTTGCTTTTTGAATACGGATCTTAATATAGACTTAAGTTTTCAAATCAAGTTTTGGGGAAAACTTCTGTAAAAAGCACCGTGTAGGCACTCTTAAAAATAGAGTTCCAATATCAGTGTAAACCCCAACTATTTTGTAATATTCCATGAACAGAGAACAAATCTTCCTTTTTCACAAAATACCTGTCTTGCAGTGTCCAAGTTAGAATATTTTGTGCCCCCCGCCCCGTGGGTAGTTTTGTTTATTATTTATTTGCCCAAGTCCTGGTTTGGTTCCCCTGACTTGGTGATTGTTTGAATGAACTCTTGGGCAGCACTCCTCCACCTTATCAGCCTGACCCAGCTCCAGCGGCCCTGTCCCTCTTGCTCCCCAGCGTGCTCCCGAGCTCCGAGCTCCAATGGCCCTGCACTGTCCTGCCTCCCTCCAGACGCTTCCTCAAGGCCCTGGGCTGCACAGATGGGGGCTGCGTGAGAGCGCCCGAGCCCTTCCAGCTGCCTCACTGCCTCGGCTGGGGGTTGGCGGGGAGCTGGGAAGCAGGAGATGGGCGGGAGACCCCCCCAGCCTGTCTGAGGAGAGCCGCGCTGGCCAAGGACCTTCGGGGTCTGCGGCCGCCTGAGCTCCGGAGCCCCGAGACAGCAGAGGGTGCGCTGCACAGCCCCGGGACCCCACGAGGCGCGGCTGCTGCGGGTGGGGACAGGAAACCGTGCGTTTCTCCGTCCCGGGCTCGAACTCAGCCTCCTGTGCCTGTGTCTCCAGAAAGTGCGGCGAGGGAGGAAGCGTCCGGAGCTGCTCCGCAGGAGGGTCCTGGGGCTTGCTTAGCGTCTAGAGGCTCTGGGACCGACTAGCCTGCGGGATAGGGAGCTGGAAAGTGCAGGAGGACACAGCAGGGCGCTGGTGTCCTCTGGGGTGGGAGGCGCCAAGCGAGCACTTTCCCAGCCCCCGAGGGAGGCAGTCCGCGGCCAGCCTCGCCCTGGGCATTCTTTGGGGCCACTTAAACGGGTGCAGACTTCCGAATCTGTGTCTCAGGATCCCTCCAGAAAGGCCGACTCCAGGGCAGGTGCCCGTCCTGCGAAGTGAGGCTGCAGCCCCAGAGAGGGACCCCCGTGGAGCTGGGGTCACGCTGTCCTGCCCTGTGGCCCCCATGCTCCTGCCGTGGCTAACTGGACTAGGGGCCGGAGTGATCTTCCTGCACCTCCTGCAGAAACTTTTCTTCCCTTACTTCTGGGACGATTTCTGGTTCCTGCTGAAGGTGGTACGCTATGGGATTCAAACGGAGATGGGCAAACGCAGAGGGCACCTGGACACCGTGCTGGAGAAATTCCTGAGGCACGCAGAGAGGCAACCCAGGAAAGCGTTCCTCATCCACGAGGGAGACACCTACACCTATCAGGACGTGGACAGAAGGAGTAACCGCGTGGCTCACGTCTTCCTGAGCCACTCCTCGCTGAGAAAGGGGGACGTTGTGGCTTTGCTGATGAACAACGAGCCCGACTTTGTGCACGTGTGGTTTGGCTTGGCGAAGCTGGGCTGCGTGGTGGCCTTCCTCAACTCCAACGTGCGCTCCAACTGCCTCCTGCACTGCGTCCGCACCTGCCAGCCCAGGGCCCTCGTGGTGGGCGCAGGTAGGGCACGGGGTGCGGTCGGCTTTTACAGAAGGAGAAGACTTCTTTTCCTGTCGTATTTCTTATGGAGAAACGTCCATGACATACTTCTGGGTGTGTAATGAAGAGTGAATATTAAGGATAGCGAATAGTTTCACAATGCTATGACCAGTAGTCTAGCGTGTCCCAGTCCCCTTTAATCCTGGTTCTTTTGTAGGTTAGTAGTATCAAGATAATTTCAGAATTGTTTTTACAAAATCTCTGCTTCCTGCCATTTGGAGAGGGGCACGATTCCCTGCTACTGGTGCCAGCAGTGATTGTAAGAATACACAGAGAGAGAAAGCTTGGTCATTTCTACGTTTTATCAGCTCTGACAAGTGATTCATGACTAGGAAAGTAATCTTGACTTCAGTGCAGAATACCAACATTCCATTCTCTAATAGTAACATTATCTAGGGCTGCACTTTCAACAAAGCGTCTTTCACTATGAAGTGCGTGAGTTCTGCTCTCTCTCTCTCTCTCTCTCTCTCTCTCTCTCTCTCTCTCTCTCTCTCTCTCTCTCTCTCTGCTCTCTCTCTCTCTCTCTCTCTCTCTCTCTCTCTCTCTGTCTCTCTCTCTCAATCTCTCTCTCCCTCCCCCCACCCTCTGCAAGCTATGGCCCGATAGCGTGGTCAAATGTTTACTCTCAAGCTCTGACTTTACCTTTTGTAGAGCTGTGGGAAGAGAAGCCAGAAAGTGCCTCTTGACTATTGTTTATTCATGTTCTCACTTGTATCTTTGAAGATTGAATTTCTCATTTTGGAAACAGGCTAATGAGCATATTTAACTTTCAGTGATTTGTAGCTTTGAGTAAAATAAGTGAGTCACATAGAATTTTGATAATATGTTAAAACAGTGTTTGCCAATGAATGCATATGTAAATGCAGTAGGAAAAATGGTCAAAGTTCACCTGGAGATACACTCTGATAGTTTATTCCCTTTCTCACATTATTATTCATTCCGATTAGACTGCTGAGTCTTTAGGGTAAATGTAAAACCCAAATTATGCTAAAAATGATAAAACTATAAATTCCCTTTAGAAGAGCTGATTTAAATGGCTCAGAGCATCCCTGGAAAGATTTCTGTGGCCGTGATGTTGAGGCCAATCTGGGAAGCATCCTAAAATCTGAGGAATGTTTTTTTTTAAAGTGCCCTGGATTGGTTACCTCTCAAAATGGAGAGTTCAGATTTTGCTGTTGGCTACATTATTGCTTAATTAGGTCCAAATAGTTCTGCAGTTCTTTTGTACCAGCTTTAGCTGTGCTTGCCAATAATTAATAGCATGGATTGCTTTTTTTTTTAACAGCAACAGCCATTTTTTTTAATACTGGCATTTTAAGCTAAAACTATATAGCAAATTTATTCAGTAAATATATAGCCCAAAAATCAAGTTGAAATCATAGTAATCATTATTTTTATCCCCACAACATAAATTATATATATATTTTTCAAAGATGGGATAATTTTATTTTGATTAATGAATAAGATTTTTGTGGGGTGTTACCGAGGATTGAACCGAAGGCCTTTGCACTGAGCTTGTGTCCTCAACCATTTTTTTGTTTTGTTTTGTTTTTTGGGTTTTTTTTGTTTTTGTTTTTGTTTTTTTTTGTCTTTTGAGATAGGGTCTCAAAAGAGCTCTAAGTTTCCCAGGTACATCTCAAATGTGTGATCCTCAAGTGCTGGGATTACAGAGCAGGCCTGGCTCAAACTTCTTAGATTCATGATGTATTTGATGGAGATGTACTAGATGTACTAGAGGAATCAAGTGGTTGAGTCTAAATTTGTGGGTCACTGCTTCTTATTTGGTAATGCTGTCTTTAGTTTACGCTGCTGTGTCTCCATGTCAGTCTACTATGGCGTACAATGGTGGTCATACCATCTGCTTCACAGGACAATTCTCAGGATTAAGTAACTAGTTTTCCTAAAGTGGCTGAGTGCCTGGCATATGTTAAACAGATCCTTAGTGAATTAAAGTAACTGCTATTATGACTACAAAGTCATCGTGAAGCTTTTGATAAGGGGTCTCACTTTGCTGCTGCCATCTAATTTGGTGATAACTATAAGAAAACTAATTTATACTTTATTTGAAATAAAGCCCTGAATACATTATGATTTAGAGAAATTATACTCTTCATTAATTACATAGAACTAGTTTGAGACAGGTTTAGAGGCCAGGCCAGATAATGTCCTTGATGATAGGTGAACTGTTCATCATCACTCAGCAGTGGGTGACTGTCTTCAAGACTAAGTGTCAGCTAAGCTACCAGGCAAATGTTATTCTTATCATTGTCAGTAATAAAACTGTCCCAAGTTGCCATTTACTGGTTAACTATCAGGAAGTTTGACTCTGAGTAAGGCATTTTTCAAGTACAGGGCTACATTACAGAAAATGAAATGTAAATAAATTAAGTAATTTGTCTAAGGCAACTCAAGTTAGTAGGTTGCAGAACCTGAACTCCAAACCGGTCTCTGATTTCAGTCTCTGCTGTACTATATGGTCCAATTGTGTGTGATAGAATTATGAGAAAAATACGCATTCAGGTTATATAAAAACACTTAAAAAATTTGCCAGTATTAAGACATCAGTTTTTTTATAAGCAAATAATTAGAAAATATCAAAATGTTTACAAAATTGTTATGCTTTTAGTTTGAAGATTCACAGATATTTATGAAGTCTTATATCTCATTAATTGAAAAGTAAAGTTTTATAGATCAAACCTAGTTTTACTCCCAATTTTTCTGATATTGCTAATGTTCCCTGCTGCCAAGATTATCATCTACCAATCCATGCTTTTCTCTTCAATTAGAACAAACAGAAAAATGTTAGGATGCTTGGATATCATTTAAAGATTATATATAATTATCTCTAAATTATTTGACATGTTTATCCATAATGATGATGATGATGATAGTAAATAATAACCCCTTCCATTTCAAAATAATCTGTACATTATAAAGTACTCTTACGTGCTTTTTTTTTTTTTTGTGGTCCTCACCATGGGCATGGGAGTTAGATATTAACCTTCTTTTAAGGATGAGGGAAGAACAGTTACAGTAGGCAAGTAATCTACTGAAGCTCAGGTAGCTGGGCCAGTCACTGTGGAGCTGGAATCCAGACTTTTTATGCTAAATCTACAAACCTGAGTCTTTGTTCTTTTTTCTCTTATCCTTTTCCACATCTCTGTCTTCTGCCTTCCTTACATTTGTGCTTTTATTTCTCATCTTCTGTCTATCCCCCTCCCTTCTCTCAGTCCTTTTTCCACCAAGACCTCTTGTCTCAGGTGTGCTGAATGACCCGGTTAAATCCTAATTTCTCCTAGCCAATTGGCAAGTGGATATTGGTGTACCCTTGTTTAAGAATGAGGTTTAAGAATGAGGTAGTAAGCTCTTTGACCTGAAGAAGTTTGCTTTGTTCATTATAAAATTCTCAGGATTTTTCACAAAGCAGATGTTCAGTAAGTATTTATTGTTTGCATGGATTAATGGGTGAATAGTTGAAAAATTACAAGGTACACATGAGTAGCTGGTAAGTTGTAATTGACGTGTGTAACTTTGTTAACACATTTTACACTCCCTTCTCAATTTGGTAACTGGTTTTCAGGATACAGACACGGCTAGGTTTTCTTCATTGTGTTCTTTGTAATCAGTGTTATGAAACAGATGACAAGTGCTTTAGATGCGTGAGTCATCTACATGATTTCAGATTTACCCACGTGTACATGTTGTTTTCCCTCCTTTCTCAGTGCATCACATAAGAAATTATAATCAATAAGAGTTAACTAATCTTTATAAATTCTTATCACTATAATCTCTTTTATTTTTATATTTTTCAATACTGGGGATTGAACCCAGAGCCTTTGCAGTGAACTACATTCCTGATACTTTTTAAAGATTTTTTTTTTTCTTTGAGACAGGGTCTCAGTAGGTCACTAAGTTGCCTGGGCTGGGCTTGAACCTATGATTCCCCTGCCTCAGGCTCCTACAGGGCTGGGATTACAGGTGTGTGCCACTGTGTCTTGCTAGATTTTATTTTTTAAAATTTTAAAATTTTTTATTTTTGGTACTGGGGATTGCATGTGGGACCTTGCACTTGCAAGGCAGGCGGTGCAACCACTGAGCTAAATCCGGGGCCTGATTGGATAGTACTTTATGTCTCAACCTACTTTAGGGATTTTAGGTTTCTTTTCACAAGTGATAAAACATTCTGTCTTTTCCGTACACGTAATAATGCATGAAGCTGTTGCTTTTCAAGAGCTATTGCACTCAGACTGCAGCAGACCAAATGTTCGGTTAACAATGGGGCCCTTGTAATCTCCAAATGACTTTCAGCCATAAAGGCAACGGCTTTTTAAAGATCAAGAGGAAAAGTTGAAAAATAAAGACACTTTAAGTTTTATGGAAAGTAATATGTATTGAGATACACAAAATAAATGCCTCCTACAAACTTTTTATTACCTTATCCAGGGACGACAATATATCTATTTCACAGCATTTAATCATTTTTACCTATATTTATTAAAATGGCAGTTTTGCATTTTTTTCCTATCTTAGGTCAATCAAGGATCACTTCTGCTCTAAAGAGAAGCGATTCATTTTACCAACTCAATAACACAGTACAATCACAAGACTAAATAAAGAACTGAGTACAGCAGAATAACTCAGACCTAGGACCTATGTGTGGAAAAAGAGAACGGTTCAATAAATTTTATTGAGAAAACTGACTGTAAATAGTTATAGCAATATGTCTCATGGTTTGGGTCCAGAATGTCTCCCCAAAACCTCTAGCCCTCATAGGTGGAGCTTTTGGAAGGTGGATAAGTCATGGAGGCTTATGTCTGATTTGCTGTTAGGCGGTCTGGTCAGAAGGGGCAGGTCAACAGGGCCAAGACCCCGAAGGGTAGTCTCCTTGCCTAGTTCCTCCGATCTGCCTGTGCCTCCTGGTAACCATGACTTAAGAGCTTTTCCTCTGCCTGACCCCTTCACTATTCCTTCTTGCATTGAAGCCATCCAGCTACGGGCCGACACCGCTAAAAATTGTGGGCCGTAATAAACCTCGAAACTGTGCGTGTTGTGTTTTGTGCCCCACTGCCAAGATGGCGACTGAAGACAATAGGTCTTAAAACTTTAGGGGACAGATTTTGTAGTACAAGGTACCTCAATTAAAACACAAGCCCTATCATTTATTAACTTAGGTGGGTCAGACAACTTTCTTAACCTTCAACTGCCTTCAAATTTCATGTTTAATCTCCTTTAAAAGAGAGATAACGTATGTTTCCTAGAGTTACCTTGATTATTAATAGAGCAATGCTTGTAAAAATAACTGGCACATCATTGGTGATGAAATGGGTTTCCGGGCCTTATATGAAGTCTTAAGATCTACATAATACACACTGCTTCAGAACATTGCTCACTGAAGCTTCAATTTTCTTAGAAACCTTAGCCTACCTGTGTGTTCCATGGCAAGCCTGCTGTCTTGTGCTGTATAAGAAGATGATAGCTATATGTATGCAGTAAAACCTATAGTTTCACTTTGTATATTTTGTGTGTATTATTTTATAGTTTGGAAATCTCAAGTTAACCATTTATAATTGATTTTCATATTAGGGTTATTAATGCACAAAACATCTGGGCTTTGTGTTTGGGTTGTTGATCAAGCCCAGGGCCTCACACATGCTAAGCACCAGTTCTACTATGGAGCTATACCCTAGCCCTGCATAAAAGTTTAGAGTTGAAATATTTACGAGAGCATCAAGAGCTGTGAAGAATTGATTCCCTTCCTATACCACTGAAAATATAGTTTGTTTTATGTAAAATAAGATAATAATAAAAAGTTTATAATGCAGAATGAATAGCATAACTCACATCGATGATATATCAGAGGGATATATGAAATTTTTACTTCTTGATTTTACAGTCCTAGAAATGTGAAGAGGAGATTTTAATGACAGAAACAAGAAATCAGTTTGTGCGGAAAGTGCTAAAGTATCACATGCAGGGGGTCATAATTTGCCTGTATTTGTACTTGCAACCCCACCTATTTGTTTTGCACATGGGGAAAAATACAAAATTTGTGAAAGACCGTGTTACTTTTAAAAGGGGCACTGAACCTTCTTCAATGTAGACAGTAGTAGTGATCGGAGACCTAGCTATTTCATTTCCTGGGAGTAGTTTACTGTTAAGACCTGCATCTGTACTGGATCCCCTGGTGCAGTGCTCAGTTCCTTTAGCCAGCAGTGTACGCCTCACTCATGGTGAATCAGGTGGAGGACACAGAAGGACAGAGTGTGGCACGCACGGGTCTCACAAGGTGCTGACACTTCTACAGGCACCTGTGGTGGACATTTCACGGAGGAGTGAGAGAGTCTGCATGAAACAAAGCCAAAATTCTTCAAAGTGTTTAAATAAGCTATTTGGCATCAGAATTTAGTATTTAGAATTTACAAAACAAACAAAACCTTCTCATTTTTGCTAAGAAAGATTACTAGTGATAAGTAAGCAGTCATTCCTTTTCCCCTGCATGACTTTTCAAGTTATTTTGGCTTTTACTATCCTTGCCCATATTTTCTACCTCTAATGAAGAAAAAATGTGGCTAGAAAAAATCTATTTGCAGATTCTGTTTCAGTTAAACCATGAAATTTTATTTGTTTTGATTTCTGCTGACTTCCTTTTTTATGTAAGCATTATCATTCTTCTGGGTCACAATCTTATTGTAACATTTTGTTCTTTTATCCAAATTTAGGCATACAGATTATTAAGAACATATAACATTTTGTATTACTTTATAATTCCAGATGACAAATTTGAAATTAGGTTCAATAAAAAGGAACCAGTTCAGAGACTTGTACTTATAAATGCAAAACGCCAAAAAAGAGCTGTAGAAACAAAATCTAGAACTAAAATGAAGAAAAAAAATTCCAAATCTTTTGTTCTGGTTTCTCATGTGCTTATGACTTGTCTTTCCTTCTAGCCTTCCTGAGTGAGGGTTTTCACTTCTCCTTTTCAAAGCAATATGTATATGGCAGCATGCTGGGTCTACTGAGTAGAATTAAATATTTTATCTGGATTCTTACATTTTGTTTTATTTGAAGTTGTTTTAGAAATAAAAATTAGAGACATTTTAAGCCCCACATCCCTATCATATATTAAATCTGTATCCTTTCTTTGCTTCCTTCTGGTATCTTATGGATTTTACTTGAGAACTTCCCATTTACATTTGATATTTTTATCTTGTTGCTTTATGATAAATCTGAACTATAGATTTTTATAAAGTGAATCATGAGTTTTCCCAAAATGCATAGATGGCACTATTAAGGAACTGAACAGTGAGAAACAGATGGCTGTTTGCGATAACCAGGTAATATCTTATCCTTCCAGAAAATGTCTAGTACTACACTCCAAATTCAGATTCAAAGCAACATATATCTTATTATTATTTTTAATGTTTAACTAAAAAGTGGAAAAATAGAACTGCTTTAAGTGTAAAGGTCCATATTTGCATGTTTTGAGTATTCTGATAGTACTATTATACATTAATAGTGTTATTTTTTAAACATCAGTTTCTTGTATGAGGTCATATATAGTTTTAAAGTTCAATAGACTTTGGTGAGACTTGCAATTCTATTGTCAGCCAACTTTTAAATCTTGGTGTATTAGTTTTGTAGAGCTGCTATACTAAAGCATCAAAAACCAAGAAACTTAAACAAGAGTAAATTACTCCCCACGTCTGGGGACTAAGAGTCCAAACATGAGTACCAGCACAGCCATGCTCTCTCAAAAGGATAGAAGGAAAAATATTTCCATGCCATTTCTTGCTTCTGGAGGTTGCCAGTTATCTCTGGCTTTCTTTGCATTAAATCCAAAGACTACTGGGTGTCATTGTTTTGTATCCCTAAGACATTAATTAATTTTTGGCATAAGTAAAATCACATATTATAGGAATATGGAAATGAAACTAGAGTAGGCATGTAGGATATAAAAGTTGAACTACACTGTAAAAGATTTGTGCATGGGAAGTATTACATTTAAAAATATATAAAGGATGGAGACAGTTTTATGTCTCTACTCTGGAATAAAAACTCCACTGAGTTACACAAGAGACTGCACCAGAATGGTGGCTTTTTCATTTCCTTTGTATCCCTTTAGTCACTGGGTAGCTTAATATATAGCTTATCTACAGGGACTCATTTCCACCTTTGAAAAAAATGTATTTATTTTTGTTAGCCCTCATGAGTAGGCGACATCTTCTACCTTAGTGGTCAAGTTGTGGAGATCTAATTCAGGCTCATCAGAATAACTCGGCACAGTCTGACACCTGAGGTTGCTCTTCTTGTACCTTGGTGGAAAATAGTGACTGAGAAAAGTATCCCTTTTCCTTACTGAGCATGAAGTTCAACCCAGAATCTAGATCTCTTCAGACTCCGAAGACTAAAGACCCCTATTCTTCTGGTTTTTCTGCTCTTCCTTCTTTCTACTTGATTTGCTTTCTTCTGGAAACTTTAGGTCCTCCTGCTGGTGGAGGTTCTCCGCCCACTCTCAGCTGTCATTGTCACCTTCTTCCCTGCCCGGAACATTCTACTGCCTTTTCTGGAAGGTGTTCTTTCCTTCTGGGCTTTCAAAGGCTTTTAATCTTTAAATATAACGGTGCAGGGGAAAAAAAAAGAGCAAAAACAAAGAAAAGAAAAGCCTGCTCTAAATCTCCTTTCTTAGCTTTTGGCTCCAAAATGCTCTCTAAACCACAATGATGTTATGATTCCAGAGAAATCAGGGGATTTTTCCCACATGTATTTCATTTTGGCAAAACTGCACAGTGAGACACAAGGCATTTTGGAATAACTAGCAACTAAGTTGTATTTCAAAGAAAATTTCTAGTACATGTGGCTTTAAAGAGAGTGTAATAAATGACTTTATTTAGCAATTAGAAAATTCATAATTTGGATACTAGAATCTCCAAAATTCAATCTGACCCAGGCACATTGTTTCAGCAGCTGGTCACCCAATTTCCCTTTCCTTAGTTCTGTTGAAACAGAACCATAAAATAGTTGTGGCATTGTTCACCAAGGATGGGAAGGTAGTCAACACTTCATTCACATTTTATCTCTTCCAAAACACAAAAGCACATTCAGGATGAGTGGTCAGAGGTTTAGATTTTTGTTTACCTTTTTCTAATCTGTTATTTCAGATTTGCTCGGAACTCTAGAAGAAATCCTTGCCAGCCTCCCTGCAGATGTCAGTGTTTGGGGATTAGAAGATTCTGTTCCACCAGGTGTAATTTCGCTCAAACAAAAACTGAGCGCGTCATCCGAGGAGCCGGTGCCGCGCAGCCGTCACGCTGTGGCAAGCCTCAAGTCCACTTGTCTGTATATTTTTACCTCCGGAACCACAGGTAAGTTCCAATTTCCTTTAAAGCATAAAGCAGACGCAACATACTTTGTGCTGGTGTCATCCGAGAAAGCATACGAGCCATAAGACCCAGGTTCTCAGATCCTAGAACTTTCAAACATCAATGAAAAAACTAGCTTGACTAAAAAGGTAATCGCTTTGACTTTGGCAAGTCACCATGTTAGTTAAACTGGTAAACTTTATTACTCGATGAGGGTTTTGTTTTGTTTTGTTTTGTTTTTTAAAGTTTGGTAGAAAAAAAGACTGAAAGTTCTGAAAACCTTGATCTGGTCGAGCCTCCCAGTCTCTGCTCCATGGCTGGTATTTGGCCAGCTTTGGGGAATAGCTTTGCTGGCTTTGCTGAAGCTCAGGTACCTTATGTCTAAAAAGAAGAGATCAGTTTAAATACTTACCAATTATCCTGCTTTCAGAAACTTAAAAGTCTGTTAATCTACTTGAATACAATTCACTTTACTCTTGTGAAAATGTTGTATCCTAATGTTGTCTACCTATAGTTGCTATTTTAAGTGCAGGTGGCCAACCTCTTCTGATTTTCCTAGAGTAATTGAATCATGTGAGCAAAGGAAGTCTCCAAGGCATTGCAAGTTTGGGAGCAGATACAAAATCAATTAAGTTTTAATAAGCAGTGAAAATAATAAGAAATAATTTTGAAGCCATTTATGAATTCAGAAGAAATGTTTAGCTTCACTATCTTTTAAAAAAAATTGAATATCAGGCTTTCCTATGCCTTTATTAAGGTTCGTGGGAATTACCCTTCAGGCTGTCATCTGGAGGTTACGGATTGCCTAGATTAAAAACAAACCAACCACCACACTGACAAAGGGAGAACTTATTTCTCTAACTCTGGTACTGACCGTTAGTTTGCTGTCATAAGTAACTGTGGTGTGTTGGGGTTTGGATCAATGCGATGAGGAACAAATTGTATCACAGGTGCCTGGGGAGAGCAAGTTTTTACTAAGCTACAGGTGACGTTGTACAACTGGATTTAAAAATAACATATGTCAGGCCTAAGAATAGATGGCAACTGTATTAAACAAATTTATGACACTCACTTCTTTTGCAAAAATGTGACTGACATTAGATATTGAGAAGGTGTTACACTTTTGTCATCTTGAGCTCTTTACCAGACACTTTCTACTCTTGCAGGCTGACCAGTTGCTCTTTTGCTGTTCTGGGTTCATTATTTACTGTTATTTTGGGAATTTCCTTCAGCACTTTCCTTTTTTTTTTAATCCTCTAATCTCTACGTTTTTGTTAGAGCACTACTTTCACTAGATGTCTGATAAATACTATATGGAAGAGAGTTTAAGTCTTCACATGTCTGAAAATGTTTTTTTTTCTGTCCTTACAAACGTGACAATTTATAGATTCATAAAAAGTTATTTTTTGTGTGGGATTTTGAAGGCATACTCTTTTCTTTAGATTACCATCTATGCTGAGGAGACTTTTTATTTTGTAATTTCTTATCCATTATGCAATCTGGGTTCCTTCCCCCACTTTTTGAAATTTTAGAATCTTCTGAGTCTTTGGCAGTTTTAACAGCACAGAGCCTTGTACTTGGATTAGTTTTAGTTTTCCGTTTTTCTTGGAAATTTATAAGCCTTTTCAGTCTAGAAATTCGTGTCATACAGCAGTAGGTATTTCAAATTAATTTTTTTCTATATCTCTCTTTCCTTCCTGTTTCCTTCCCTATATATTTGCTTGTTCACTTTTAAATTTATTTTTCTTAATATATGCTTGCAGTACATAATAAGTACATCCATGTTGGGGCATCGATACATATACATAGCACACTTTGATTTCTATTTTCTCTCCTCTTCCTTTTCCTCTACTGTTTGCCATCCCCAGTCTCCCTTTCCATCTGCACCTCAGAACTGTAATATTTTTGAAGATTGATTCTTCTGGACTGAGTCTATAATTTCCTATTCTATTTTTCATCTCCTAGCCGTTGAAATACTTTTTGAAAGATTTACCTTTCAACTTTGATGTTCTCTGAGTAGTCTTTTGGAAGTATATTTTGCATCCTTGATACTTTATTGTCTCATATTTTTCAGAATATTAATGATAATACCTTTGGTGAAAATTTCTCCTCTCTATTGTTTCCAACATACTTTTTATCTTTTGTTTTATTTTGACCTCTTTTTAGTAGAGAATTTTTCCAAAGACCTGATAAACTGTTATTGTCAGTTTATATTTAAAAGGGCAAACAATAAACACAACACAAACAAAATTATAACGAGAAGCTTTGTGCGCCTTTGTGTACCAGTTGATTTCTTTGCCCAGAACGTTTTGTTGGATGATTCCATTCCTATCAGTGCCTTTCAGTTTGTACTAGATATTCATTCATAGTTTTTAGACAAGAATCTTGAACAGTAAATCTAATCAAGAGTTAAATAAAGGGTGAACTAAAAGCATATTTAGACTTTATACTACCCCCCTTTCAATCTCTGTTCTTCCTGATATTTCCAGAAATTTATTTTTTTTTATCCCAGAGAATAAAGGTCAAGTCTTCTACTGGGGATGAGAAAGGAATCCAAGGGTACAATTATTTCTTAAACAGAACTTCCCATAAAGCTCCCTGTTTATAGTTCCACGTTATGTTCTACTCTTTGAGGTTCCTGGTAGCCGCATTTCTGAGCCTGTTTCTGAGGGTGCAGATCAGTTTTCTTCAAGGCTTCCCCTGGAGTTGCAGCTTGCCAAGAGTCTGCCGTGTAACTCACCACATTCCTTCTCATCCTTTAACAAACCGCTGCTGTCTCCCCAGTCTCCCCTCTCTGTCCTGAAGGATGGTGACTGTGTCAAGTCCGATGCTAACTTCCAGTCCTGCCATTATGAGTTAGATTTGTTTAAGTGCCTCAAGAATCTCTGGGAGTGGCAGCCCAGGCCTGGAGAGCGCAGCCACAAATTCATCCGCTTTACAAGCAGGAGGAAGAAAATGAAGTCTGTCTATTGTGGTGTTCCAGGAACAAGTTAATGTCCTCACCTAAAGAATTCCTTTTGTTTCAGCTTCTTTTTATTGATTTCTTCAACATTACACCCAAATTTACAAAATAATTCTTAAAACTGCCTGGATTTCCCTTAGCACATCCTATTTTTCCTTATCTTCCTCCCGAATCCCCTATTCACTGGACATATCTGTGCTCCCATCTTCTTCCTCGCCCCTACTCCCTTAATCTACTCTCAAGAACTGGGGAAGTGTTCCAATGTTGGGAAATTATAAAACATTAAAAGAGCCGAGAACTCTAGAGATCATCTAAGGCAGTGTTTCTAAAATAAATTTCTGCAAAGGAATAGAATAAAAATTGAGAAAGGCTTCATGGTCATATTAACTTGAGAAAGTTCACTGATATCTATAATAAGGCTTCTGTAGCGTTTGACTGCTTGAGGTAATCAGTGTGTTAATATGCTTTCTAAATCTCGTAAGGGTGATCTTTAAAATACATTTTTATCAAATACAATTTATTCTTCTATTTCTTTTCTTTCAAACTGTTAACCCCCATCACATTTTGTCACTTTCATTTGTTAGATAAACTCATATCTGTTGTTTGCTTTATAAAAAGAAAAAATCCACTGAGTACCTTGTACTGATTGTAGCACACTAATAGGATCACTACTCACTTAAGGCAACCAAATCAGAAAGAGAAACATGTCTGGTAAGTTTATTAAAGTGCCTTGCAGGGTTGAAATGGCATATAGGAGAAGACCAAGTACATACAACAACACCTTTCTACTGACAAGCCTCCAAGCAAAAAGTTATTAATTAAGAGTTGAGTGATTGCTACAAGATCAAGGGACACTGTGTGGAATCGGGGATGTGGGTAATGGAAGAACCAAGGCTGGGGACCTCCTGGTAGCACACACAGCATTTCTTCTCTGGGTGAAGAACAGAAAATCACAGCATTCTGAACAGTCAAGGCTAGACCTTGACTCATTTAGTATCATCACGTATGAATTTGAGGAGGAAAGTTTGGAGCTATTATCTATGCGTACAATAAGCTCAGGTTGTAAAATTCCAAACTATGGGGAATAGCTATGGAAACCTACTTTGAGAATATTAATAAATGAATTTTAGTTAGGGTAATAGACAATATAATATCAACTTCACATATGAGGTCCAGGATGGTATGGACGTAGGACACAAAGCCTATCAGGAAATATCAGAGCAGGTACAGAAATGACTCTATCTCCTAAGAGTATCTAAAGTCACTGTAGATTTTGATCCATAGCTTACCATGCTAGCATGACCAAAAATGCCACGGAAATTTTCCATGCATCAGTAAATATGTTGAAACCAGCAAGAGAATGTCTCGTGAGAGTACCAGCAAGACCATGGCACAATGAATGGTAAAGTATAAACATCTGTTTACAGTACAAAAAACTAATAAATACATGAAAACAATGTTCAACATCTCTGGCCATTAGAGAAATGAAAATTAAAACAATACTACGATTCCATCTTATTCCAGAAATCAATTTGACCATCATCAAAAAATCTAATAACCACAAATGGTAGTGAGGCTGCAGGGAAAAAGGAACCTTTCTCCACTGTCGGTAGGAGTGTATCCTAGTACAAACATGGAAATCAGTATGGCGATTCCTCAAAAACTAAAACTAGAAATTCCATTCAACCCAGCTGTTCCCCTTCTAAGTATCTTTCTGAAAGCATTAAAAGACATTGTATTACACTGATACATGCATTTTCATGTTCATAGCACCACAATTCATAATAGCTAAATCTGAGAAACTTGGTCTTTTCTTTGGTACCAGGAATCAAACTCAGGACCTTGCACTTGCCATGGTATCACTGAGCTAAATACCTGGCCCATTAGCTAAATCTTGGACACAGTCTTTATGTCCATCAACAGATGAATGGATAAAGAAAATGTGGTATTTATTCACAATAGAACACTACTGTGTCATAAAGAAAGATAAGTTGGAGTCATTTGTGAGAAAATGAATGGACCTTGAGATCATAATGATAAGTGAAATAAATCAGACTTACAGGCTTAATTGGTTTCTCTTATATGAGGAGTCCAAAATATAAATAAAAGTAAAATAAAATACACATAATAGGAGATAGGGAGGTAGATCTTTTTCAAATATGGAAAGGACCAAGAGATAGAGAGAGGTGGGAAGGAGAGGAGAGCAGGGGAATGAAAGTACCATTAATATGTGTTATGTACATGTATCAACTCCTCATGGTGAACATGATCATTATGTACTGCAAATGTACCAGTAAAAAATTAAAAATTTAAGAAAAAGCAAAAAAGGATTATAAGAGCAAGATGAGTTCATTGTTTATAGAACAGATAAAGCTTATTATCTGATTTAGGTATGTGTTGGCAGACTGACATAGCTACAAGTATGTGGGTCAAAATCAGTTGGAAGATTAAAGCTTCATATAAAGGGTTTGACCCAAAGAAATGAAAAATGGGAATGAAATCCAGCAGGAAGTATCAGCAGCAAAGAATTGCATGGGGGAGGGCATATTTAGAGAAGCATGTAGTAAGCAGTAAGGAATTTTGGCTATAGAGTCGGGAAGCTAGATATGGGAGTGTTTTTTAGTGTAAGACTCCAGTCCTACACGAGCAGCTAATAATGAGGAAGTATCCAAGTTTGAGAAACACATTTTATGCCTTCACACTTCCTTTGTAGAATTGGGAAGTAAAGTCAGATCAAGTATATCAAATTCACAAGAGCCAGTGATATTATTAGTAACTTCCCGTTTACAGATTGCCAAATTGGGCTGTATCCGTACATGGGGTATAAATAAAAACATAACACCTAAGCCTCAGTGGTCTGTGGCTCTTTACTACTGATTCTTCCATTTGTTTGCTTTCTATGACTTCTATGGCATTGATCTCTGCTTGCCTCGAGGAAATAATGATCCTTTGGCACCATAGCATTTTATGAGGCAAAGCAATTTTATTGATAAGATACATTTGTTTATTTTTGTGGTGCTTAGGATGAAACGTAGGGCCTTGTGCTTATGAATGATAAGCAGGCACTGTACCACTGAGCTCCACTCTGTCCTCCTACAAGTTTTGCATGAAGTCATTCTAAAAATGTTAAGGAACTTTGAACTGATAGGCGAGCTGTGGTTGTGATACAGCTAAATCTTGAAATGCAATTAAAGAGATGATAACAGAATAGACGAGGTGTGTTCCATGATGATGTAGGTTGAAAAGTAAAACTGCTAATATTTAACCATAATCAAGGCAGTGTGATATGCATCAACTTATCGAGTTATATGTTACCTGGATAAATTTATTAGGCTGACATTATAAATACAGAAGTGTCTATAACAATATGGAAGATAAATGTCCTACAAATGCTGAGTGACAAAGGCAGTATACAAACTTTTTATAAAAAAAACATGAATATAAATAATATACAGAACACCGCTTCTCAGTCATTTGGCTAAGATCAAGTGTAATCATATACAAAACTAATTGTACATGGAAAACAAGAAGAAAAAAGAAAAATTACATTTGACTTATGAACACATTGAATGACTTCAACATTATGTATCATGGAATTTGGTATCCCATAGTGATCATCTTTTAGGACACGGTGAACATGGCAGATGAACAGCTCATAAACAAGAAGTCCTGCTTAGAACTGGAACTGTTTTCAACATTTCTACTTCAAATATAATTTAGACTGACATTGTGATTTGCTTCATTTAAAGTATACTATTTCAGATTTTGACCTTTTCCTCATTTTCATAGTACATATGGCTCTTTGAACACAACAGTATCTCAAAGTTTATGTGATTTTGTGAGGTGGTCCTTCTGGATAGACCAAAATTTAGAAATTAATTACAGCAGCAAATAACACTGATATGGTCCCTTTTATAAAGCATATACCACATTTTACTGTATTTTGTCTCAATTGCTTGTGTAGTTGATCACAGCAAAGTTTCGTTCCATTATACACGCACTCATATATATGGAGACATGTATATATGTATGCATCCACATGTTCTAAGTATCTAGTGAACTCAAAATAACAACTCTATCTTCAAGGAATAAGCAATAGTGAATATGAGTAATCCTGGAGTCTAGCAACTTGGATTTGAGTTACTTTGAGTGATGTATTTCTCCATGAATGAGACTACACGAACCTTTATAGCCACAAAACAAATAAGGTCATAAATCAACATATTCAATAAATAAATTGGTGTGGGCATTAGGAAGGCAACATACAACAAAGTAGGGAAATCTTTTCTACAGTTTTCACATGTTGTCATAACATTCTTAGCTATAGGGTTATGGTGACTAGAAATTGGGTAAGCCTAATTATCTATTCTGAGAAATTTACCGAATACTCATGAAAATGTTAGCTCAGATACAAAGCTTAGAAGTTAATGGTTGTTTTACTAAAGAGTCCAAGTTATTACAAGATAATTTTGGCTTTCCATTTGCAACATTCAGTTTGTCCATAATCATGATGCTTCATCTGGCTAAGGTCAAGTAATCAGTAGGATTTTTGATGTAGAAGTGATTTCTTCAGAGAATTCCCATTCTTCAGTGTGTGTGTGTGTGTGTGTGTGTGTGTGTGTGTGTGTGTACATACACATATCCTTTTTATTCCTTTCCTTTCCTTGTCTTCCAGGTCTACCAAAAGCAGCTGTGATTAGTCAGTTGCAAGTTTTAAAGGGTTCTGCTGGACTGTGGGCTTTTGGCTGTACTGCTGATGACATTGTTTATATCACCCTTCCTCTGTATCATAGCTCAGGAGCTCTTCTTGGAATTGGTGGATGTGTTGCATTGGGTAAGTTTCGATTTTCTTTTTGATGTTTTCATAATGCCTAATATTTTGACCTTGAGTTTATTAAGGTTTAAATCTATCCATAGAATTCAGAGTGATTGCATCTATATTATAAAATTATAATGTAATATTTATTGAAAGGACACATTTTCATGGTACAGTGTATCACCAAAGTAGAAAGACCAAAGTCCTGGGAATCCAGCTATATGGTTGGGTGTGGTCATCGACTGGGCTACTCTGTCCTTGTGGTAGCTCATCCTCTAATGGTCTACTTCCAGATTCTTTAAATAGTGGTAGGAGTGTTTCAACGTGGTGAATATGTAAGCTCTCCAGGCCAAATCTTAAAAAATCACATAGATTATGTCACTTGCATTCTATTGATCAAAGCAAGTCACAGGACAGCCCAGATTCAAGAGTCAGGGAGTTGGGAAATGGACCACTACCTCTACAAAGGAGGAAGAGAATCACATTACAAAGGTATGCACAGAGAAGGAAGTATGCAGGTTAGTTCTAAAAACCCTCTGCCCAAAGTATCCAAGAAGTCAGTTGGTAGAGCTTATAATTCTACATTCCATTCATAAACATGAAAGATTTTTAGAATGAGATCAACATCCACAACAAATAAAGATGAAAGCCATAAAAGTTTCCTGTGGAATATATACTTTTGACAGACTTTGTCAGAACTGGGTTGTTGGAGGTGGACTATGATTGACAGCTGAGTGGGATGTTCTGGGCCAGCTCCCTACAGGCACACCAAGTTTCACAAGAGCCAAGGAAATCGGGCAACAAACCCACAATGTCTGCTCGACTCTGGTGGGTTCCAGTTTAGTGTCAGCACTGATAGTCAAGGGATTGTCTCCACTACCCTTCCCTCAACGTCTGGCAGAACAGCTATCACCAGGCCACTGCTCACAAATGAGCCCATAGAAATTCCTGGCACCAGACATAGATTTATGTTCCCATGAGACAGACTCATGGTTAAGCCTCAGCTCTGGCATGGGTGTTGATGTGCCACTGAAACTGGACAAGTCCTTGTAGCTGTGGGACTCAGGCACAACCCAACTTAGCATCAACCCAGGTGGCCAAAGAAACTGGCTTCACCAACACTACCCCAAAATGAGCAGCATAGCTTGGAGCAACACCCCCATTTGCTACAGGTAGGGTAGGGTTATAATCTCAGGCCTTTGCCCTGAAACTTAGTGCTGGGCTGTTGAAAAAAAAAAAAAACACTAGGCAGATCCTAGCAGCTATCATCCCCCAGGCAAGTCCAAAAACAGAGAACCTGGAACAGACCTGACCTCATTTTATCAAACTTTTATTCCAGTCATCATCACCCATGGCTAGCTGCAGAGGTTATGGGCCATGAGGTCATCTTAGCAATATGCAGCCCACAGCAGCATAGACCTGGTCCTTCCTCAGTATTACTCTGGTCTTGGTGGGCTGTGGGCTCAGAGTGCAGAGCAGCCTACTGGCACTGATAGCCACAGACATGGCATAGGGGCCTGGGGCTGGTCCATCTCTAGTAATTCTGCCCCGAAATAAGCAGGATCCTGCAGTGACTGACTGCAAGTGACTGGGCTTACCTGGGTCCAGGCAGAAGCTTGTGGGAACAGTCTACTTGTCTGCATTCTTCCCTTTGCTTCTTCTGAATAACAGACCAACTATGAATTTGAAACAAACCTGGGCTTGAATCACCCTCTAGTATTGAAACAGTGCTATCTATCAATAGCAATTTCCTGGGTAACCTGGACCTGAGAGCCTTCCAATGGTGAAATAGAAGTGGCTGCAGGGTGAGAGAAATGAGCAAGTCTGCTTAGAATTTTTGGAAAGACAGGAACAACCAAAGCCAAATTAGGAAGACTGGACAGTGCCCAGATGTTGTCACATACCAGCAAGGATCAAGAACTTTCAAGAAACCACGAAACCTAACAATTGAAATAAGATGTCAGAAACTGACTATTTACAATCAATAATCAGTATGGGAGAATTTGTACAGAATTTAATATCATTTAATGAAACTTGGTGAACTTGAAGAAAAATTTCCTCACAAAGAAACCTAAAGAAATGGAAGCAATTTTTAAAATTAAATGTTTGAGCTAAAAATACAGTGGTGAATTTAAAAACCATGAAGAGTCCATTCTAGCAGAATGGATAAAAGAGAAGAAAGAATTAGTGATTTCAACTACTAAAAATACACAGAAGAGGAAAAGGTACAAGAAGACTGAAGAAAGCCTGCAGGAAGTTTGTATCAGTAATAAAAGACAAATATTCATTCAGATTGCTGAATCAAAGGGGTAGAAAGCTTATTCAAGCAGGTAATAATAGAAAACTTCCCAAACCTAGAGGACGCAGATCTCCAAGTATAGTAAAGCTAGAGGTAAATGTAAACCAAGTCTACTACAAGACTATAATGAAGCCTTCAAAGATTAAAGAGAAGATATTAAAGATTACAGAGAAAAGAAAAGATACTTTGGGATTTTTGAGATATCTCATACTTTGAGATACTGCTGGTAATGCTATCTGAATTTACCTGACAGCAGACTTCTCAGTAGAAACTCTTCAGGCCAGGAGAGAGTGGCAGGAGATTTTCACAGAACTCAATGAATAACTGTCATCCAAGAATTCTGGACCCAGCAAAGCTCTTCTTCAGAAAAGAAGAAGGTGTAAAGACATTCCCAGACAAACAAAAAAGTAAAAGAATATATTTTAAAATAGGCTTGTTCTACAAAAAATGCTAACAGAGTCCTTAAGAATAAAAGCAAGCAATGTTACTTAGTAAGAAAGCATGGAAAGCCATAAAACTCACTGGTGTCAAAAAATATACAAATTCAGAATGCTGTAATATTATACAAATGGTGCAAAAGCCACTCATATCTTTAGTATGAAGACTAAAATCCAAAACAATTGGAAAAATAATAATATATTAGGATACAGGAAATACAGAGATATAAATGGGGTATCAACATTTTACAATATAGGGAAGAACAGAGTACAAATGAAGACTTTTCTCCTCAGCATATTTTCATGTGTTCTATTTTTCTTGTTTCTCTTCTATGTATGATCCTTTTATGTTGCTGGCTTTGAAAATACCTTGTTATCATCAAAAGATGTTTTTTTGGGCTTGGGATTTAGCTCAGTGGTACTGCCGCCTGCCTCACAAGCACAAGGACCCGGGTTCCATCCCCGCTACCAAAAAAAAAAAAAAAAAAA